CCGCCAGAAGTACAACCCCATCGCACCAGTGCCTCTGCTCCACCGCGCATTCAATAGTCTTCTCTCGCATTGCTCGACGTGACTCAAAATGAATGGCTTTTGGTGTGAAATATTTTGAGGAAATTATTAAAACGTGGAAACTACTGTTTCTGTGCATTATTGTACGTCTGGAATTGCAAATCCTACGGCGACAGTGTTCTAGAAACGGGCTCCTTTGTGGTATACGTGTGAAACTGGCCTTCCATGAAACGACTGAATACAGTATATCCCGCTAAGCAGTTTTAGGTGATGGCCCATCAACATGGTTATCGCACACTGGTCTAACAGGAGGTTGGAAAGTGTTCTCATGTTCAGTATGAAGCATTATGCTTCACAAATGAACACTTTTTCTTAGATTCATAAATTGGTAGATGCAATGTTAATATAGAATAGAATGGAATAGAAGTACTTTATTGATCCCCGGGGGGAAATTCAAGATCCAGGTAGCTCCTGACAATATACAAACATAATATACACATGCACATATTGTACAGTACTTGTGACCATTCACAAGATGTTTGGTGGGGGGTAGGAGGGGGGGGGGGGCAGCTTCCCGGCTTTAGTGGTAAGTTAGAAAGGGTCAAATATACCATATAGTATGTTGATGAGTTTACATTAGCACAACTAAAACCGTAGAACTGTTGGAAACGACGTCCTGCTCAGGATTAATAGTAATGAATTGTATGATCCTCAGTTCTTTCACCCAGCATTATTATCAGGTCAAATATTTCATTTGGTTTGTGACCACAGGCCTGCCATAGCCATACCTAGAATAAGAAATGAACAATACACCTGCTTCTAAACATGTTTACTCAGAGTGTAGCGTGCTGACGTTTGCATTGAGCTCAAAACACCACTGTGGTGGTGAAGTGGAGCTCTAGACCCGACATGGTCATTGGGGATTATTTAGTCAAACGGCTAAACGTTTTTTTGTCTCATTTATTGTGTCAACTGATAGTCCTAATTAGACTGCAGAGGAGTAAAAACACCTCAGGAGGCCGTCGTCGTCATCGAGTCTGATAAATGGAACTTGCGGTTTGCATTCATACAGCACTTGAAGGTCTTCGGTGACCAAACCTTTGAAACCAGGTCCTTTTTGTGTTTTCCGACCACAGGCCTGCCCCTGTCTTCCAAAGCAGTGGCATTCAGAATGAATAAGGTCACTTCAGTGGCCGGCGTGCTGCACCCCTTTCCCCCGTGCTGGTGACAGCTCATTTTCGGAGCCACGGCTTTAGCGCTGAAAGAGCAGAGGGCCCTGTAATGAGGAGCTTTTAGCGCTGGCACTGGGCGGCCGGGTAAAGCCATCAGGCATCATTAAACCCTGCTGGGAAAAAAAAACAATCTCTCTATTCCCGCCGGAGCTCCCAAACTCTCTTTGAGAGAGATACATGAGAGGACGCTTTGGCGTGTGTGTGTTTTGCGCGCTGGAATGCTTTGCTCGGACGCAGCGGGGCATCGTTAAGTGGCTACGGACTCCCTACTCACGATGATGATGATGTCGCTCTTTATGGTTTGAAAAAGGATAATTCATTTAATCCGAGACAGCTTGAATTTAAATGTGTCTGTTGACACCTACATGCTGTAATTTCTGATACGAAATAAAACAAGAGGGCAACTGATTAAAAACAGGTTTTATACTACTACCCGAAAAAGGTACTAACGATCCTTCAACAAGCAAAACAGCTCCATTATTCTCGCTCGGCATGTCCTCGCCCGAGAACGTTTTTTTTTAAATGGGTAACTTATATATTTATTTTACATAACAATGCCCCAGCTAGTGCACAGTATTGTGTTCTGTGGATACAACATCTGAGATGTCATATCCAAACAAATGGAGCCCGGCAGACAGAGATGAATAAGCTGCTGCAGGCGTCACTGTGTCCGGAGTCACCGGCTTAATGAAGAACAAGTACGTGTTCGCAGACATCACAGAAACAAAACATGCACGCTCACTCTACAACGTAGGAAATACGTTTTGTAATGGGCTGTAAGAATGCGGCTGTGTTGTTTTATTGAGTCAATATGCCACACGGACACGGGACACGTGCTTTTAGCAACGCGTCAGATGCACCGAGCTCAATGTGTAAAACATTCTTTTGAAAATAGGATTAAAGTTCCTTTTTATGTAAATCCATTTATTTCAGCACAACTCTTTGTTGACAGATTATGCAGTGAAGTGAGCCGCCACACAAGCTGCCTGTTAGCGCCTTTCCCTCAGAAGCACGGGCGGCGCACTGGGTGCTAATTTGGCCTATCTTGCCGATTGAGGCCATCTTAGCGAGCCGTTTGATGTTAACCGTAGCTAAAGGTGAGACGCAGAGACAAACACCACCACGGTGCAGCATTCGGTTGAGGCCGGCGCAGCTCACAGTGAAGGTAAAACGTAACCGATTCTTTTCATACCACACCATATTGATTTGACAGTGTTGACATGAAAATGTTATTTCATGGAATCATTTTTCTTTACTTGTAAAGGTCCAGCAGTCTTTTTCTTTCTAAATTTGGGGTTGTATATATATTCATAGCTGGAATTACACCCAATCACACCACATACAGTCACATCCCCTACAGTTTGAAAACCATTATGGAACCGTGCTGGGTCCCTTTGAAGTAGTTTTTTCCTCACATGAGTACCAGCAACAAAACTAAAAGTCTTTGTTATCCCTAAATGCCGGCACATATGAAGTCACATTCACGTTTGAATTACACAGTTAGGCCCGAGGACTCCGTTCCCTCCTCCTTCAGATCAAAAGGAAAGCCAATAAAATCCTTTACTCGCAGGCATCGGCTTTGATGTCGCTCGCCGCGCGCTCATTTGAGCCCGGGGTCATGGAGTCAGAAGTGGACAGCACCTCTACTGGCATCAAATTGTTTTTGTATCTCGAACCCCGAAACGACTGATTGGAATGGAAGGCCGCCTTTTTTAAGGAGAGGAACATGCATCTTTTTTTTTTCGTCCAATGATTGCGTATTTGTTCCAACACAGTCCAGTGAGTCTCACACAAGCTGTAAGCCTGAATAGAGGTGCTTCTCACTGCATACAAGAATGAAAGATGCGGTGCGATGAACTGTAATCAAGTAAGCCCACAAGAGCCTTCGCCTATTCAGCCTCGTTGGATGGAGCCTTTGCCAAAACCATGTAATTACATTGCTTTGAAATTTTGTTGAACTGTAACTCAGCACCAAATGGGCCTTTCAGAGGATGATGCAGCCTTGTTCAACGAAAACACGACATCACGGTTCATTCAAGAGCTTTTTTTTTTCCCCACCGTCAAAACAAAATAAATCTTGCTTCGATGTTCCACTGGTAATTTAATCATTGCTGTGAACGTGTGTTAACACTTTGCTGTCTTTGCACCTGTGAGACGAGACTACCTATGAAACATTTTCACCCATTCATCCTGTTTCAATAAGCAAATGAGACACCGTGCTCGAGTTGAGCACAAAGTGACTGGAAAACGACCCCGAGCTTTGCCTCCACTCTGCCAGTGTGGGATTTGTAGCGACGGTGGAAGTTATTTAAGAATTCTTGCAATTTGACTATTGGCCAGTGCCAAACATCCATCTGCAGAGCGAGCAGCTGGCAGTAAACCTCAGCTGCTCGTTGACGTCTCCACCAGCACCAGTTACCTCTCAGGTATTACAACATCGAGCACAATGACAAGAATAATCTCTGAGCTGAGGTGACTATCTGCTGTTTGCACTGAGACACAATCTGGATTCAATTCTGTTTGTTAGTTGAAAGGGTTGTTGTAATCCAACAGTTCAAATTAATGCAAAGATTTGCTCTCTTGTCTTTTGCTCGGTGTGTTGTGACAGTATGTGGACATAAATTCACAACTATACAAATAACGGTACCTGTTTCATCTGACACAAACAGCCGGATATTTCACCTGCATGTAATTCCATTAATAAGGACCGTTGGCCCGGTCTTGAAAGTCAATTTTTGAGGACAGCACCTACGCGACTTCCTACCGCGGTGAGGTGAAAAAAGACGCACAAATCCAGGCGGTCGTAATTGTGAAAAGGGCTACGACACGGAAGCCTTTGTAATTACCGTGTGACTGATTGAGGGCAGAGCGACCTGCAGGTCTCTGCGTCTTGTTAGCAGCAAGAATCCAATACCGGGGTTGATCACACGTGAGGAACACTTGATCATCTCAAAATGCAACAGCCGCCGTTTCTCTGCTTTCACAGTCAAATTGTGAGGTCAGATTCTCATCAACGACGCTGAATGTTTCAAAGCTTTGAGCGAACAGACGGGAAGCTTGTGATTTATTTACCTTACCGTTTTATTGACATATATAACGACTGGTGATAAGTCACTGTAACGTCTCCCTCAACTTGTGACTAGGAATTAATAAGGACCATTGTTTGGACATGTGAGTTCTTTCCCATCGCAGACTCTCAACACTAAGTTTCTTTTTTTTTACATCTTTATTTATGTTTAAATAACGGCGGGGTTTTCTTATTAAGTAGGTCATTTTCTCATCGGATGTTTTCGTATTATTTGGGCTTTATATTTTGACGGGATAACACAGAGTTACAGAAGAAAAAAGTGTCAACATTCAGCGTATGTGGCCCACTCTACCTGCCTCAGTGAATCTATGGATTTTATTTATAAATCATTTGTATGCTTTTAATTCTAGGATGTAATTGTAAAAAGTTTTATTGGACTTTTGGTTTCTAAATTGTGATTTTACCTTTTTTTCTTACCTCTTTTCCCTTTATTGGTTATATGGTTTGAATAGCATTTTCATCACATAAGAAAGATAGTTATGCCGGAACCAAGTAGCCTACAAAGCACAATAAGTAAGATTTCAATATTACGAGCAGCAGTAAAAACAATGTAAAATCGGGCTCCATTTAGGAGTGCACCTAGTTTCTTTTTACCAAATATATTCCACAATTTTAGTGTAGTAAAGGTTCTCAACCTAAATAAAGATACAGCCACCATTTAGCAAGATTCAGACTTTGCATTTATATTGTTGAAGCAGGTGGAAAATATGACCTTTTCTTTTTTGAATAATTTACAAAAGTACTTACGTTATCCATGCTTTATTATTGACCCTTACATAAACGGCAACATACATAAATACATAGATTGTATACATAAAAAGATACATAAATAATTCATATTTAAACACGTCGTGTCACATTGTGCCACGTCGTGCCAGTGAAGTCCACCGATGTCGGACAGGCGCAGATGAGATGCACAGCTGAGGTTCTACTACAGTTCATGAGGAGCTGGCGGGGTCGGAGGGCAGAGAACTGTTAGCAAGAGGTGAAAGTTTTCCAGAAGAAGTTTTTACAGGGCGCTTTGCGGTCGCGCTGAGGCAGTGATAGCCGGTTGTACACCGCCCTCTCCTCCAGACGGGACTCCAGCGGCTCCTCGAAATCCACGGGTGCCGCTTCCCCCGGCAGCATGTTGGCGTCCGCGGCTCCGTCTAACAAGCCGGACACCAGCTTCAGGATCAGCTCCTTGCGCTCTTTGCTCAGCTCCTGTCCACAAATCAGACACGTGTGAGGATGTGAGTAAACATATTGTAATTAATAACGGGAAGATGTGACATCTTAATAACTCCGAAGGCACCGTATGATTTACTTTTCACATTTAGGACGGCAGGAATAAAAGTGGAGAATTAAAGACTATAATTGAGTTGAAATGTAATATACTTTTTAATGCAAATTAGGAATATCACGGGATATGCAGTACGAGTACAGGTTGTAAAGTCCTCTGAGACTAATTTGTGATTTTACATTTTTGCACAAAAAATAAATTGAATTGAAACATTTCACAAGCAATATTTAATTTAATATCATTCTTTTCAAAGTTCAAGTTCTTATAACAATATTACAATAACACTAATTATACAAATTCTACCCCAGGAAAAACAGAAAAAAAACCCGAGACTGACAATCACAGGGAAAATCTCCCATGAACATATGACAGATAAAAAAAAATCTGCTCACCCTGTTCACGTTGATGGAGCTCCTATCCTCCATGGGAAGCACGGCGGCTGCTCGGACGCTGAACAGAACCCCCATGAGAGTTGCCAACACCACCAGGAGCTGCATGCTGTGACAGGAGTCAGGAGTCAGGAGACAGTTACAGCCACAGGAGCAGGAGGTTGACGGAGATCGGAGTGTGTGAGGGAGAGAGGGTGGCTGAGTGAGTGGCTGAGTTGCTGCTCTGGAGGAAGAGAGAGTTGAAGAGTCTGAGCAGCTCAGGGATCCTCGAGGAGGCTGGTGGAGAAAAGGGCAGTTGGTCTCGAAATTTGGAATCCACTGATGTTTCTTCCGCTCCTTACCTCCAAAGTCCCTCACCCTTTTATACGCCTCTACCACCGCGTGCCACTGACGTACAGGCTGGTGGGTGTATGATGGAGGGGGGGGGGGTGGAGGGCGCTCGAGGGGGGCCGGGGGAGGGGGGTGTTTGTGAGGGTGTAAGAGGAGGGGAGATGAAGTGTTCAGGACAGAATAAATGGAACCGTTGAGCACTTAACCTTTTTGACAAATTGAGAACATCTGCTCAGGGGCGAAGACGTCACCGGGGCTGGAGACACGTTTTAACACCAACACGTAACTAATGTAGTGGCCATCGTGATGGACAATCCCAAGGAAGACCTTTTTTTTCGGACGGGCAGGCAGACAAGTCCTCAATTTATAAACTGCGTGATGCACTATGAGCGTCTTTAACACTCGAGAACACATTGGTCACATTTCCCTGAAGCGGCAATCAAAATGTCAAACACAAACTGACCACAGCGCTGACTCCTCTTCGCCGTGCCGGTGTTTCGCTCGGAACTTCTGCCAGCGTCTGATTGCTGTCACAGGGCCTCTCTGTGCCTCTCTGACAGCTTCAGATTACAATCGAGCGGTCGGACGCTGAGCGCGGCTGCAGGAAGTGCCTTCAGGAGATGCTCACCACCCGTCTAATGGAGGAAACACAGCTGTTGAAAGGAAGAAGACATTCTAACTCCGGCTATTTAGTGCGACGGTTGATCTTGGTCTCTACATGAACATGGTGGATGAAATGTGATTGGCTTTTAGTTGGTGTCTAAAGAATAAACACTAAACGTGGCCTTTGAGGGTCAGGGTGCTACAGGCAGATTTGGGGGAAAAGACTGATGAGTGATTTTTACCAAAATACAAAGTATTTCATGACTAGTAATACAAAAACTCTCATTCTGTAAGTAACTATGACTGTGAGGAAACTGCACTTCCGAGTCGAATGTGTGATAGAGTTGAGTTTAATTGTGACAAATTGCTTCAGGCCACCCGTGCGTAATTAAAATCAGTAAATTACCTCTTTTCTAGGCAAAGTTAATATTCTTTGGACCTTATGTGATTTATATAAAATTAGCTATAATCTTAATGGATGACAAGTTGCAGTGTGGCAACAAATGATTACGTTTAATACACATTTGTCTGACACGTAAGTTGCAGCTTACATAGAGACTCATTTATTTTTAAATATTGTATGTAGTTAAATTGAATCATTAGGTTTAGTTCACATCTACGAAGGGAAACAATTTGTGTAAGCTACTCCAATACTACTTGGAAACCCAATTATACTGTAGTATACGAGCTCAACTCACCAAAACTGATTATGGAGAGTTGATTACAGCATAGAACATCTCTTCGAGAGAAAAAAAATAGTTTAATGTGTTTGAGAAGCTCTCCTCCAGGATATATTGTTGAAATAGCAAAAATAACTAGATTTGCTGTTGTGATGTCTTCAGATGTTGCTACAGGCAGGCAGCGTACGTACAACACACACATTCCAGAAGGCCTTGGTTGATGTGTTCAAATGGATTTGTCTTGCATTCAAAACAGTGTTGGAGGCATTTTCTTCATACACTGCGGATTCTGAAAAAAATGCCCCGCAGCCGATCCAAAGATTAACGGATTGTAGAAACGGCTACATTGGCAATCCGGTGCGTTTGAAGAATCTGCAACAAATTGGCTCCTTAAAAATATGAGAGTCTTCACACAGTGAAACGTGTCAGCGGGACAACAGGTTCGGGTGTTCCCAGGTCTCATTGTGCACGGAAGCTTCTATCTGCTGCACGTTTGGCCTCCCGCAACACCTCAACAGCTCTCTGAGAGGCATCACAAAGGAAAGCTGACTCAAAATGCATTTGAGGATTATGTGTTGCGGTTTCTATCAAACAGGTAAATCTGGTTATGTGCTTTTGTGTCTTAACTGCACTGAGAGTTTAAAAAGACGGGTGGAACATGGAGTCTGAAAAGTTCTGTTACTGCAGCGCAGATATTATCATAAAAAAAATGGACGTTGAGTTAAATATTTATGGGCACTAACTTGATTGTGTTAATGGAAGACAGTGGATAACTGTTTAATTTCCTATATTAAAGGAGAAGACTGGAGAACACGAACCTCCATCACTACGTCCCCCGCAACGCACTACAAAGGCAGTATGATAATAATATACTGTACTGAGGCAGGTTGGTCACTTTTTAATAGAAAACCAGTGAGGCCGGATGTATTACACAATCACTGCAGTTGATGCAACTGAAAGCAACAGCTGCATCTCACAGCCAAGGAAACGACTGATGTGAGTAGAAGAGGACTCAGGGTTTTCCTTTAATATTCAGAGGAAACCTCACCTACAATGTTGGATTCGCTCAATCTGCATTTGATAAATCCGAACAACATAATATCAACCCACTCCATTATCCTTCTAGAATGTGAACCAACTTACAGATACGATTAAAGGACGACATCTAGTGTTTGAATACTGGTATTGCATTTAGACATCAACGGCGCTAAAACTCCTGAAGCCAAACTGAAACAAGTACAGAATAATTGTCATGTATTGCTTTTAAGATATTGCACGCAGAAAAGAATGAACATGGCTGATCAAACTAGATGGTGGACAAATACACGAGTCGAATAACCTTCCTATGTTACCAATTTATTACCGTATTACAAAAAATAAATCAGAAATTCATTGCCTGGATATTTCTCAAGCGATTCCATGTGGACTTCATTAATACGGGAACGTGAAAGTGTTAGACTATCATTTCAGCACACAGGCTTACAGCACTACAAGCCTTCCTTATACTGCAAATACACACATGCATAATGAATTCACCTCAAGATTAAATTCTTCGCATTGCAAAACTCAAATGCTGTATCAAATCCCACCCAAATTTTTTATTTTTGATGGTCAGAGCTAAGCAAATTCATTCACTCTTAACATTGATAAAAGGGACATTTTTCTCTACTGACATGAGCGTTCTTCTAGGCCACTATGTGCATGGCACACTTTACAAGACCCCCCCAACCAACCAACAAAACAATTTTAGGCACTATAGGGTTTTAGTGTGGAGGACACATTAATGCGAGTATGTGCTTACAGCATTTGGCGACTGGGTTTTCCTATGACCATAAACTGATATTTAACATCACAAATAAAAGTACAACAATGTACTTTGTGGTAAGCAAATTCATTACATAATGTGTGGATGCAGTGAACCCGATACAGTGCAGTTTCATATTGAGTTCAGGGTTGACGGCAACGCTCTTCTCACTCAGCCCAGTCCATTAAATTGCCTTTCACATAATGCAGATAGCGACAGGAGAAAAATCTTCATCAGTAAAATAATAAAAACACCAAGAGCGTGTGAGATGAAAGGAAACAAACAAACACTTCTCACTGTATAACTCAGGAAGTTTCCACACACTGATGATTGTTGTTGTTGTTGTTGTTGTTGTTGTTATGCGCCCTCAGCTGTACGGAGGCTTCTCTCTTCAGTGGTGTTGAACTGTGTTGAGCAGGTGAAGAGGAATCTGGTCTGAGGGCCAGGTGAAGGATTAACAGGGTCCGTTTTTTGCTGGTTATGCTTCATTGAGTACCTGCCAATGGTCAAGAAGACACTTAGCACAAGGAAGCTTTTTTTATTTTATTTTTTTAATAAATTGCAGATATTGATCATGGAAATTATTGCAACAACATTTACCTTCTTTGCAAACTCAGGTAGGATGAATGATGCTTTGTGAATTTCTGGGTTGTAATATTTAAGGTTCATAGATTTCCTTTCTTCTTTTGACAGCTCTCTCATTGGCTTCAAGAAATTTGTTTCCTAAATCAAAAAAAAGTGAGGGGCATCTCAGGTCACAGACATCAACTATCATCAAGAAACGGCAGACAAGCACATTTGAAAAGGCAGTGACATCCACAGGCAATCTGACAAGCATGGAAGAGGTGGATGGCAAATGATTGGCACTTACAGGATTTTTACTACAGAGCATGAATCCAATTTGGCCACTGGGATAAGTGGGGATGGTGCTGTAGGCATAGTCTACCACAGGGAATAGGGTCTTGCAGAAGGTTCGCATCTCCTTTATCAGCTCCAAATGGAGCCATTGACACTCTCCTGTGAAATTGACACAAGAGCAGAAGAAAGGGCATGTTCATTTCCTGGCTGCCTTTTTTAAACATTGTTCCATCTTCAGGTAGTTGCAGGTCAGACGATATAAATGGGCAGCATAACAGCTCCAAGTTAACAGCCACAGGTAATAACCAGGTTTATTTTTGTGGACTTGAAACTGGGATGTAGCATGACTCAGCCTGTCCTAAACAAAACATGAAAAAGTATGAAGTATAGAGGATTACCCTGGGAACATAGAATTCCACCGTTTCTCAACGCGGTCTTCATCAGCTGATAGTAAGACTCCTTGAACAAACTCTCAGCAGGTCCTGAAACAAAATTCAGAAGTCAGAAATTGACTCCCTCCTATAAGGGTTGGCAAAGGAAGGTGTTGAAACACTTCCAAAGCAGCGCTTACCAACAGGGTCTGAGGAATCGGTTATAATGATGTCAAAGGCATCCTGATTCTTCTTCATGAATTCAAAGCCGTCTCCAATGTGGAGGATGAGCTTGGGACTGTAAAACCCACTGGCCATCCCTGGGAGGAACTTCTTCGATGCATTAATGACTTCCTGCACAGAAGACAGCATCACTACGGATACGATACGGAAATCGCAATAAAACGCATGCACCCGCCCCCCCGCTAGAGAGAAGCAAAGGATCCTTGTCAGTGTCGTTGCGCCTACCTCGTCTATCTCACACAGAACAACCGACTCCACCAGGGAACTCTTCACGACTTCCCTCAGCACGCCGCCATCTCCACCGCCAATGATCAGCACCTGCGAACGAGGGGAAACAAGCAGGATGAGCAGCAATCCTACAACAATCCCGAACAATAACTCAAGGGCTATACCTTCTTGGGGGATGGGTGGCTGCACAGGGGGAGGTTTGCGATCATCTCCTGGTAGGCGAACTCGTCTCTCTCGGTGCACTGGATCACCCCATCCAGCACCAGGACGTTCCCGTAGGTTTTACTGGAAAAGACGTCACAGTGAAGCACGAGATGCACATTTGAACGTTGAAATTAGACTGAGCCAAATACACAACGCTTTAATAAATTAAACAAGATGAAGCATGTTACGCTATTTGAATATTCAGTGTATATATTTTTTTAATAGTTGTAATATTAAATGCCAATAAAGGTTGATTGAACCGCAGCGCGTGACTGCGGGCGTTCTTGTGAGCGGGTTGCTGCCCAGACTAGCCGGTCAGTGACGGGAATGCTTATGGGTGTTCTCCATTGAATTAAACAGTTATCCCAACGCCGTGGCCTCTTTCTCGGGTTTAATTCCGAGCACCGCTGTTTTATTGGTTTTGTGAGCGAAACCGTGTTGAGAGACAAAAAGGGGCAACAACTCACGGGGTAAGCTAACGTCACCGGCGGAGGAAACTTCTCAAGAGAGTCCCACGAGCGTCAGGTCGCTCATTCATTGCCGGTGGGGCGCTAGGAGCTAGCAACGTTAGCCAAGTTTAGTAGCTCAAAGTACCCACCTCTTGAAGACCATGATGTCTTGAAAATCGGATTTCTTCTGGTAGAGAACCTCCTCCACCTGGAGGCTCAGCGCCTGCCCTGGCCACAGCGCGCACGACTCCGTAAACCACCCGTCCTTTATGTGCTCCATGGCTGTTCTCTAAGGGCCACGATTTACAGTTAACACTACCGTGTTTGAAAGTGTGGCAATGTGATCAAGTGTCACTTCATTGTCGTCTGACTAAAGATGACGCGTCGTTCAATGGCGAATGGGGTGACGCCGGCGTTAGTGACGTACCGTTATGTGAGCCAATGGCTGTGCGAGGACGAGACGATTCGCGCAATGTTCGTTTGACTTCTCACCATTGGCAACGCCCATCGTAGGCCTTTATATATATATCCATGACCGTAGATATGACGCCCATAGGCTGAACCATTGCGCATGCGCGCAGCCGAAAACAAGGGAGGCCGAACATTTTAAAGCGAGGCCGCCTGCAAAGTTTTTCATTCTTTTTACACCCTCCAAGGTTAAGAGGCCTTAGTTTTTTTATGTTACTGTAAAATCTAAGTAATCTAATCGTGTCCAAGCAAATAAGTAAATCTAATAGGCCTACTGTAATTTTTGGACCATTTTGTAATAAAATAATTGAATGTTGTTCCCTGAATCTTTGTGTGTGGTATCACATTTAGTGGTGTCAACTTTCAAGTCTGAGATTCAGAAGCTACAGCTTTGTCAACCAACAACTTATGTTTTCCAGTTGCACAGCAACAACTTTTCTTTAAATCGTTAATTATCTTCAGAGGCACTGCATAAACATGTATGCACGTCATGTATTACAGCCCTATATGCAAATCTGGATGAGCTACTGTAGATTAAATAAATCGGTTCAATGTATGAAGACATTCAGAGATTCATGAAAAGGATAAGTAAACAAAAGTGTACAATTGTTTTACCCTGCAACTGTATGCTCCCAAAACATCTGCATAATAATTACATGCAATAATTCAGAAAATTCTCCAACCAACACTAGGCCAACATCATCATCTCTGCCTTTTAATGAGTGGATTAGCGCTGCTGAAAGCCCTGCATTTCAAGCCTCAGCTAACGTTTGTTTGCCGAGTGGTTGACATCAGCCGTGTGGTGCTCGCCACGTTTCCCAGAGTGAAGGTCTCGGTGCTGAATTACTGCCAGCGGGTCTCCAGTTACCCTCAGCGGCGTGAAGGGATGTCTCAGCAGCACATGAGACCACTTCCTTTGCTACCAACTGTAACCGACCCTCCACAAGTTATTACAGGGAAAGTCGTTTTGAAGCTTGAGATGTAGTTATGCACAATGGAATTAATAGGCCAATATGAACATTACAGTCTGACAGGAACATTTTAACCTCATTATTGATACTAATGTATAAGGAATTGTGGAATGCAAAAACGTTATGAAATAGACATTTCTTTGGAAAATGTTTTTTGTTGTTGTGGGATAATAGACTGCACATGACTCCTTTGACAGGTCTGGGCCACTTGTAAATAGGGGCTCTACCTAAAATGAGGCATGTTCTTCTAAATCATTTTTGTAAGAGTGGCTCTTCTACAATGTACAAACATAGTTCTGGACCAGACCAGAATAAACCAGAGGACATATTGCTCTGGTGTTGAAAGACCATGCATATGGTGACATTGATGATGATACTTTGACACGGATACCAATAATGTAGACAATTACCTTTCCATCTAAAATCACCTTTATGAAGAAGTCTGCGTTTCCACATATTTACAGGTTAAACCGCTCCACAGAAGAAAATACTCTTTGAAATTCATAAAATACAGAAATACTGAATTACTTAAAGAGGAAAAAAAATGGAACACTGTTTCTGCAGGATGGAAAAACACTTAAAAAAAAAAGTTAGACAAAAATAACAGGAGTTTATCTTTTGGGCCATTTATTCCGGGATCCTCTGTAGAGAAGAAAAAGAGGTAATGATCAACAAACAGAGACTTCTGAATTGTTGAAGTTTCTCTTAGTCAAAGAAGCTACCGTATATTGGACACAATTACCTGTTGGATTTTCCTTCGAGGTACGACATACTTCGGTTTCCAGCTCCAGAATTGGATTTTTGTCCTTTGGCGGTTTTCTGGTGAAAGATTTAAACTCGTCAAGCATTATTAAAATACATATTGTTTGATGAACAGATATTATTACATTTAAATTACCTTTTTTTTAGAACCATGGCCTTGCCGATTGGGATCAAAGTGTGTGTTGTCCTTTGGTTTGGTACCTGTAACAACAAAGCAGGTGCAGAGTCAAACTCATTTCATAATAGAACACTTGCCACACTTTACTAAATGTAAAGTAAGGAACATGATTCATACCAGCAAAGACTTTGAAGTTTGACTGGCTGTAGTCGAAGGGAGTGAAGCTGTTTTCAGGAGACGGTTCCTCCTCCTCTGGGTCCTTTGCAGATTTTGTCAACTTCTTACTCGGTTTGGGAGTTGACTCTCCAATCTCACTGGCAACCCGCTCTCTTTTCTTTACGCTGCCTTTTGCAGATTCCTAGTCAAATGGAATTGCATTATATTCTGCACCATACTTACAATGACCATTCAAATACTCTGTACTCTTAAAAAAGGTTTGCATTTACTTAAATAAGATATGACTACTGTATAATTGTTTCCAGCAGCAAGACGCTTGGTAGGTTGGTTTTCGTTGTGCCAAAACTTTAACAACTTTCTCTTTTTGATGTTTCAGGATTCTGGGATTTATGATTCAATCAAGAACCACTCAACTGGAATATTAACATGGATTTATAAAGATAAACATTGAAATCTTTTGCCACTTTCTTTAACATACGTGGCAAAATATAGGTTTTTGTAACCCACGCAAAAAATATCATATTCTAAAGGCCTATTCTAAACATCATAATGACTCCTTGGGATCATTTGATTTATTTATCTAAAAGGCTTTTTAACTTTTATTTGATGCAACTGCTCATAAACACAACTGGCAAAAGAGAAAACCGGTTATATTTGAACCAGATGTCCTCTTTGGACACGTTTCTTTCCACTGAAATTAGACAAGAGAACACCGCTAACAAAGCATCGTCTGTGAGCCGACCGAGCCAACATTTGTCCGCGGTTGGCAGGTTAAGATGTGTTATCTCAAATCCCGCTGCCAACCCCTCTCACCGTAACGCCGACATTTTTCAATTGAAGCCGCCATTTCAGCCCAAAAACCAACGTTTCACTCAGATTGCCGTAATGCATGTGGTTACTGTGGGGTTCCATCGCCATGGGTCTGAGAGGAGACATTTCTCTTCACTCCTCCTTCACAACTGGGAGGTGAAGAACCAAGCATTTTGTTTGACTGAGCGTTTAAAAAAAAAAAAAAACACACTGTGGCAAGAGCACATAGAAGCACCCAAACAGCAGGGTGCAGAGCAATAGCTCCGGCAGGAAGTAGGCTTTTGAGCACAAAAAGGCCAATGTTGTTTCCCAGGAGAGAAGAAAAGCGTTAGAGGAGTGCGGGCGTGTCTCTAATGCTGCAATCCCACGCTTTTCTTTCTCCCTCCCCCAGGCACTTAATGTGACAGATATAAATATTAAAAAGCCACCGACGTGAGCTGCAGACTAGACTGGCAGCAGCGGTTCACTCGCTCGTGAGTCACCGTATTGCTGTGAGGAAATATCAGCCACATCTTCCGAAAATGGGGGCACTGCAGAAGGTTAGACCGCCTGTTGAAGCACCATCTCCAGTATGCCGTGCCGGGCTCCTGGGTGTATATAACACTTGTTTTTCACGGACGTGTTCCTGCTCAACAGGGACATCGACAGTGAAGTTGACAGAGTGCAAAGTAGTGGGACGGAGGAAATGGGAGATACAGAAAGGGACAAATGACTTACCGCCGCTTGCTGGCGAACGGTGGCAACATTCTGGAGAGATTCCTGGTAGCTCTCCTTAGTCGCTTTTCTTTTCTCTGGGGAAAACAACAATACAATGAGGGACGCAGCACACAAACAGCATACATTTAGAGCAAGTTTGACTTCCTAACCTTTCACTTTCTTTGCGTGTTCCTTTGCTTCTTCCCTGGCTTTCCTCTTGGCCTCCTGCTTGGTCTCCAGCTCCTTCTGTTGCTGTTCCATACTCTGCAGTTTCCATCTTTTACTGATCTGTTACCGTGAGATTGGTGGTTATTGTATCATAGCAGTCGCCCTGTTCCATAGTTACCAACTATGTTTATGAACAACAAATGCAAACGCTCTTTAAACATTTAAAAACCAAGACTAAAAGTGGCCTCTGGGGATGGTTCACATGGTAGCACATTGTATCACGCTCCTCATTCGTGGCCCAGCGCTAATACTGCTCTCAAGATTGTTTGTTGTTGAAAGAAACTGTGAAATTGTGTCAAGACATTAAAATTTGCCTGAAATAAAACAGATAGGTAAACCCCAAATGATGTATTCACTACTACTTTATACTACTTTAAACCAACACGTTTGCCAAAAGTCCTGAACAATCAAACATAGTGGTTAAGTAGCTGCATGGAGCCTTTGATTACCTCAAATATTTTCGAAGATGGGTCGAACTTCGCAGCCTTGCTGATGTGAAAACCTCTTGAGGGCAAGTACTGAAATTACACGGAAAAAAGTTGAACGCTGCCTGTCCGGTGAAATAAAGAGGCCATGCAAACATTGCGACAGATGAATCACGTAATATCTTACCATCCTGAAAGGGTTTTCAAAAGACTCAACGATACGTCTTGCTTTCATTTGCGCCACAGACACGGACTCCTGCTCCTCCTTTGTCTCCTGCTCGTGTGAAAAGAACGCAGAGTTCTCACATTTGATACAAAGCACTACAAAACGAGCGTCTGAATAAAGTAAACCAGAAGTTGTTCTTTACCTCAAACTGTGTGATTTTAGCCTTGGCAACGAGACTACTTATATTCTGTTCACCAATGTCCATTCTGTCTTCATCCTCAGAGAACAGCATCCCTTGTTTGACTGGCATTTCTGGAAATATATGCGGTCGTTTGCTTCCAGGCCTAATGGGCTTTCATATTGAAATCAAAAACATAACGTGCGTATGAAGCCTACCATCGGTAGAACCGGGGTGTAGATCACTCTCTGAGACCTCGGAGACCCTGGATGTATCATGAGGACCAAACAACGTGACCTCTGTCTGAAAAGTTATACAAAATCTCATGAATTAAATATCGGTCATGGTTCCTTCAAACGTTTCATTTATCGGT